CGGCGTTCAGTGGTCCTCACAGGTCACGCAGACGCTTCTTGGGCTGACGACCAGGCTACGCAGCGGTCGTCACAGGGTTACACCTTCAGCCTTGGTTCCGGCTCTGTTTCGTGGCGGTCTACCCGCTCGTCTTCTGTTCTCGGCTCCAGCTGTGAGGCCGAGATCTACGCAGGGGCCATGGCTGCACAGGAGTTACGCTGGCTCACCTACCTGCTGACCGACCTGGGAGAGCCGCCTCGTTCTCCTCCTGTTCTGTACGTAGACAACAAGGCCATGCTGGCCTTGTGTCGCGAGCACAGACTGGAGCACAAAACGAAGCACATTGCTCTTCGCTACTTCCTTGCTCGTGAGCTGCAGCAGCGTGGTCAGCTGCGCCTTGCTTACGTGGCCTCTCATGCCAACACTGCTGATATCTTTACCAAGGCACTTCAGCCTTGTGATCATCAGCGCTTTTGTACGATGCTAGGTCTTGTGCCTACTTGGCCTCACTTGCTCACTTCTTGACCTTGCTTGTACTGTGATCTGTCTATACCTGCACTTGCTTGTTTACTCTTATATATGATCTTGCATGTGAACTGGCCTTTTGGCCTTGAACTTGTGCTCGGAATGTGTGGTGACGTTGTGATCCACCCTGAGCTTGCTTTGCTTTGCTTGACTGGTTTTGTGACCCCTTGTTCTCCCCCACTTTGCCTATGGGGGTGTGTCAGATTTATATGACTTAGCCTGTGTAGGCTATAGTGGGGTAGCACATATGGGGTACAATATTTCTAGGGTTTGTACTTGTACCCAACCTCCCACTAGTCAATCATTCCTCGTTTCTCATCAATTTCCACTCCGTTGGCTAAAATAAGATGCCCTAAAAATGCCAGTCTGTTCTGTAGAAACTCACACTTAGAGGCTTTGGTCAGTAGGCGGTTCTCACTCAGTATTTTAAAAACTGCTTCGATGTCCTGTAAGTGTTGTGCTATGTCTAGGCTGTAAATCAGTATATCCTCTAAGTAGACGATTACGCACTTATCTATAAGTGGGCGGAAGGCTTCTTTCTTTGTCAATTGGAAGGTGGCGGGGGCATTGGTCAGTCGATAATCATTATTGTATATTCGAACGATCCGTAGTGGGTTCGGAAGGCAGTTTTTGGGCAGTCGGGCGGATTAACGCGGATCTGATGGTAACCTCCTCGAAGGTCGATTTTCGAGAAAACTCGGGCTGTGCGAAGTTGGTCGATCAGTTCGTCGGCTCACGGGATGGGGTAACAGGACTTAATGGTAACTCGGTTTAGTGCGCGGTAATCTATACACATGCGAAATCCCCCGTCTTTTTTCGGTGTGAACAGTATCGGTGCTACGAAAGGCGACGAACTCGGGCGAATGATTTTCTTCTCGAGCATGTAATCCAGCTGCTTCCACAGTTCATCTAGTTCGGGTTGGGTCAGTTGGAACTGTCGCTGTACTATCGGTTGTGCCCCCGGTTCTAGTTCTATCCTGTGGTCATGCGGTCGCTGAGGTGGCAGTCCCTCCGGTAGGTCATCCGGAAAAATCCCATTGTACTACTTCAATAGCGCTGCCAAGTCATCCGGTACGTCGGCGAGCAGTTTCTGCAAATCGCTCCCCTTGTCCGTTGCCTCGGCTTCCCGGATGTCAACCGCATACACGTCAGCTCTTGCTGCTACGACACGTTTCATCGTGATTGCGTTGACATGCACCGACGAAGACTCGGGCGAGCTCCAGCAAGGTAGGGCGACGCTGTTACCGTTCATTCGCACGGTGCAGTCATCCGTCGTCCAGTCGATTCGTGGATTGTGTTGTCGCAGCCAATCACGGCCAAGTAAAATTTCGGTCCCGTCGAGGGCCCTCCCCTGCTCCTCCTCCTCCTCCGTCTCCCACTGCTGCAACTGCCGCTGAGGGGGGTGGGTGTGTGGGAGCCGAGGGAGTGGCGCTAGGGGGGTGTCGTGAGAGTGGAGCTAGGGGTGCAGCAGGGGGTGTGTGAAAGGGGTCTGCGACAGTGGGGGAGGTTGAGCGGAGGTAGCCGTCGTGTCGCCAGCAGCGCCAGTAGTCCGAAGCCGGCGTGCTCCGGTAGCCCAGCGAGCCTGCTGCGCCAGTTGCCCGTGGGTCCGTTGCTCCTGCCGCTTGTCTTATCCGCGGAGCCAGTTACTCCTGTAGTCCGGGGCCCTTGCTCCGGTAGCCACTGTGTGCGCGCTCCTGTTGCCCGTGTGTCTGCGGCTTCACCCGTCGCCTCCTATCTCCACTCCTCGCACAGTCCCTCCTCCTCCTCCTCACTTGCCCTATGTGACTGCCTCTAGCTTTGCTTGTGCTTGTGAGCTTGCTCTATGACTGCTTGTTGTGCTGATTATACCCCACTTTGACTATGGGGGTGTGTCAGAATGTTATATTTGTCTAGTCTGCAGTGGGGTACTCTATAGTGAGTACAGCCCGATTAGGGTTTGCTATATGTACTGCCCTGCTTACTAGTGCAATCCCCTTTCTGTTCTAACTTTCTAGCTGCTATTCTGACAGTACCCTCCTTAAGAATCGGTTGGGTCGGGCGAACAGCGTGACCTGTCAGTAGAGGGCCCATCTGCTACTTACTCCCAGCGTTTCCGTAATGCTTGGTCTATTACTACTGCTCGACTTCTCCCTTTCCCTTAGCATTTTCGGGCATTCGCTCTTACGGTGCCTCGGCATGTTGCACGCGAAGCATCGCCCTTTGAACGGTGCGGCAGCGGCATTCGCGACGACTGCGCGTGTCGTGGCGTGCTCGCTCATCCCACGAGTCCGATGTCCCCAGCTGCTGCTGTTGTCGTAGGACCCCGGTTTCGGTCGGCGAAGAAAATCCAAATTTTCCGCCATGGCGAGAATCTCATTGAATTCGGAGACGTTGCGAAGCAGGATTTCCTTAGCGATCTCGTGTTTCATGTTGCCGACATAGTGGTCGATGCGCTCTCCCTCGTGCATATATCCCACCTGCTCGCACAACGCCAGAAACCCCGGGGTGTAGTCTTGGACGGAGTCGAGCTGACGCCAAGTGTGGAGCTTCTGTTGCGCTGCGATCGAAGCCGCGATTGGCTCGAATCTCGCACGCAGACCTGCGCACCACGCGTCCCACGTGTGATGTTGGGGTACCTCCACGAAATACGACAGTGCCCAGGGTCCGGTGTGTCCTTCCCGTGTCGGTAAAGTCTCGTAATTTACCAGCTTCGTGACGATGACGAGTCACCGGTTCATGGCGGGTCCTTGCAGCAGCGACACGGCGTATCGGATTTTCGCCGAGTCCTCCGACACGTAGTTGGCGTCGAAAAATACGTTCATCGTGTACAACTACGCCTAAACGGTCGGACCACCCCGTTGGCTCGGATCGAAGCATGGCGGACGCTGCGGCTTGAGCGGCATCGGCGACGGCAGTGCTGTCTCGCCTGTCGGCACCGAAATCGTGACGCGATGTTGGCTCCTGGCCGCATTCGTCACTTCGGGTTGTATCGTGCCGTGGTCGTCGTCTCTGTCGTTGCGGGCGACGCCATCACTAGTTGTGCACGAGGGTTGCCCCACACTTCCGTGTTGTGATGCCTGACATGCTGGTTGTCCCTACGTGCCTTGTGTTTGCGATTACGCTTGTTGTGCCCGTGCGACGTCATTTTGCAGTGACGTACAATCTGCCGTCAGCGCCGCAATCTCTTCAAAACTTTCGTGCAGCTGCTGCAGCAGTTCGTTTAGGCATTCTTGCATGAGTGTCGTGACGTCGACGTGCTCGGCGATTTCGAAGGACGTGCTCTAGGGCGCAGTCGTGGCTGCACGCGTTTACGAGAGAACGCGAGGACAGCGGCTCCTAGGTGCTAAGGAGCGTGAGTCCCTTCGAGAGCAAAAATCAAAAGTTGATTTCTCTGGGTGCGGATATGCACGGTCCGAAAGAAAGTGGCGCTAAATACTTGATGTTATGGGTGCAATGGAACGAGATAGCGAGGATTGCACTATGTATCAAACGAGTACAAAGTATGAGTCAAGGCATGAGTGAATACTTATACACGAAACATGCAAAACTGTAACGCGGTAATAATTATATCCTTGATACGTAGCAAAAACCGGCCCCACAGATTTTCCAAAATTTACCCATACAGCTGCTTTGGTTGTCGCAACAAGGTTCGCTGTGTTCGTTAGAGGCAGAATATGGGGGACTTGTTCGTTTTCAGTACATGTATCATTGTTCAGAATGGTGGGTAGCGGTTCAAAGCGGTAATTCAAGCTAATCGCTCTTGAATGCACAGTGTCTTTTTCCATCGCGTTTACTAAATCGAGAGTGAACGAAGTCCCACCCGGGCAGAGAGACACGCTCCTCTGCACGTCTGCGCTACTGTTGTTCTCCCCCTTCACGCTCCCCATGCTTCCATAGGTTCCAATCCAACTAAAATCAGAGCTTGAGAATATGTATTATTACTCTCGCATTCTTTCACCCTAGAGCATCCTGTTGATTTTCCGATTTCTTTATATCCGCACCCTTTGGCTCCTTAGGTTTATCCGTTCGCACTTCAAATGGCTGCTGCTGTTCGCGTCGTCCCACCTTCCGAAGCGAAACAGCTGGTCGACTCTGGTTACGTCTTTCTCGATGTTAGGTGAGGAGGCATCGGCGTTAGCGTGCCTCGTTTCTAAGGCTGACACATATTCTCCGCTTCCGCTGCGAGAGGGAGTATCCAGCTTGCACACTGCACGTGTCGGTCTAGAATCGTTCAAGCCAGCGAGCATCAGAACCTACCTGCATGTTTTGGGGTTTGCCGAAGCGTTGGATTGCACTTTGGTTCGTGGCAACTTTCAGCCAGTCTGGATCAGTAATGGATTGGCAATTATTCAACGTTGGCACCAGCGCATATTATCGTTTCGCGAAACTCGTCCACGTAGTGTATTTTAGGAAGTTTATTGTGCGGTCCGCGAGTGTCGAGGTGTTGAGGTGAAGAGACGGACTTACGAGCCTCCTCGAGGGTTTCCTCGACGTTAACATGTTGTGCTGCCGTGCAGAACACCTCAGGAATATGCATCTGGGCACGTCGCAGGATCCTCCAACATTCCTTTCATGCTCACCGCTTCTGACGGTAAGCCCGTTCTTTGTCCACTCTCACCAAGCAATCTTGTGCATTAGGCATTCTATGGCGCATGGCTTCACTCCGTGCTGTATCGCATATGAAATTGAACATGTTGAAGTATGGCTGAAACGATGCTTCAAGTACAACCACACACATATCCAGGTTCTTGTAGACGAAGAGATAGTTCGTGCATTATCAGGATGAGGACACTGGGGCAGATCTTCGGGGCTCCACTCAGTTATTATCCTAATGTGTTCGTGCATGCGTGGACTTTCAGGATCTATGGTTAGAAATGCCGAGTTCCTGGATCAAGTGAAGACGAAGTACTCGCCCGACACGCCGCTTGTTCGGGTAGGATATCCATTGTATTCTGGTGATACATCCAGGGGGGTCTGTATCCAACGCAGATTTGCAACAACAATTGTTACGAGTTAACAGCTCTTTTAACTGTCTTGCGCTCTATCATCCAGGCCTGTCGGAGTGGAAAGCGGTCAAATATAGCTGCAAACGTCCTAAGAGATCTGGTGAGAATGGGTAAACGGGTATTTTGGGAATTGGAGTGTACATGTGGCTTATCTGATGCCACTTTTTTTTTTTGCAGGGCTACACATCACTTGCGGATATGGAGGGAGGAATGTTGGCCTGGAAAGGCTCTCTAACTCATACATAGGAGACTGCATTCCCTCATGTGGTTATTGTAGAAGAGTGGACGTATCTTCGTACTTCTAGCTTTGCAGTGTATTTAGACGAGCCTGTTCAGCGAGCCCTAATCATGGTTCTGTGTTGTACTGTAAAGTGAAATGCCGAAGGACGCGCCTCGTCTCGATGCGCACCGTTCCGTTGCCTCGTCTCGCATTGGCCAGCTCGGCGCTGGAGTTGCAATGTATATCACAAATCACATTGCACTTGGCCAACGTCACAGCCTCCTCTGTCGGTGTTTCACATTCCACCATCCACTTTCATTGAACCTTGCAATGCAGCGCCGGTTGGTCGGCAACCACAAATTAGCCCCTTCTTTGTCAACGTGTATTTTTTTGCCGCTGCCAGGTTGGCGCTCAGAGCAGCTGAACTGAACGCTGCCCTGATGAGTTGACGCTGAAATACCTCCGCATTTCCAGCAGCAAATCCTTCACGAGCTCAGTACTCGCCACGCCATGGTGGCGGCAGCAATTCAGGGTTTACTTTTCACCTCCTGCGTCCGTCGGCTAAACCATTCTGGAGCCGCCCTCGCCGTTCTGAATGAATGTCCCGCGCTCTCCTTTTGAAACGGAGAGATGAAATTTTCAGCGCCGACGACGCATGTAGATTGCTCGAGCACCACGGACAGCTCAAACCTCTCATTCATCTGCACCGTCCCTCAGGCTGACCTCGCATGCTCCAGAGACGCACTGTCACCAGCGCCAGTCAATCTGCTATCAGCGTCTCTCAGGGTGCTACCAGCTACGCTTGGTCGCGTGTTCGCGGTGTCGGCGCTGCTGGTTGTCGCGCTCTCGACCGTCTCTCAGTACCGCGATTTACAGACAGCCGCAATAATGGCGCAGCCGCCCTTCCCCGTGCTGCCGCCGCTGGAGGTCCATCGGCTCGTGGAGCAGCAAGGCTACGTCTACCTTGACGTCAGGTGAAGAGACGCCTGAGAATTCCGAACGCGTTGCAAGCCGTTCCGTTACGCAGAGTGCACACGACGGGCTAAAAGCTCTCTTTAGTTTCATGCGTCGCAACTTTTGTCTCCACAGCAGATGGAAGTTCCGTTCTGACCCTTTGCTCCATGCTATCCGGCGCCGCGTGGCCGCGGTGCTTGCATTGCGTGGCACAGAACGGTAGAGGAGTTCGCGCAGGTGCACGTGCCGGGCTCCGACCTCATCCCCTACTTCGTCACCGCACCCAACGGTACGTCCCGTCCCCACCATCTTCCCGGCGACATTTTCCTCTTTTTTTTTTTTTTTTTTTTTTTTAATCCAACAGACGTTTCGCCTTTCCACACTCAAATGCGCCGCTTTAAGATGATTCCACGTCGTTATTCACGGTCTAATGCGTATCGTGAGATGCAGCTCCATCAGATGGTGACCATCTGCACCCAACTCAGACTACTTCTCGCCTCTGCAGGTTCGCAGCAGCCTAATCCGGATTACCTCCAGCAAGTGAAGTCTAAATACGCCCTCGACACGCCCCTCATCGTGGTACGCTTCCTTCCCCGCCATCCTTCGCATTCCGCAAAGCATCTCATCTCTCGTCTCCCACCTCACTGTCACGTGCTGCATCGTTCTCTCAACGACACGTGGTACATCTACCGCGCTCAAGCTCACCATCTGTGCTCCCTGTGTTTCGCCACCCCTCACATTCAGGCCTGTCGCAGCGGCAGGAGGTCCAACCTGGCAGCATGGGAGATGACCGCCCAGGTGAGCCACCAAAGAAAGTGATCTAGTAAGCCGAAGCATGCCCCCTAGTGCATGTAATCCTTGCTTCATGACATCACTGACCATTTGGGTTTGGGTGCGCTGCTATGAGCTGTGCAGGGATTCACAAGGCTCGTGGATCTCAAGGGCGGGATCATCGCATGGGAGGAGAGTGGGCTGCCCGTGGTGAGGCACAGCAGCAAGCTTGAGGGGACTGACCATCCACCTGTCATCCATGCAAGCAGGATGTCTGGTTGACCTTCCTATGCACTGTACAGTCGATATTGTTAGAGTTGAACCACATACCTGGCCTGACGAGATATGGAAGCTTCTACCGTAGATTGGTTAGCTTCTGGATAAATTATGGGATGTACCATCTTGTTGCCTCCCTTAATGTATATCTCCTTTATCTAATTAACAACACTGCAGCACCCAGTCACCACTCGCCCAGGTTCATGACCACAAATCCACTGTACAGCCGCCCACCAGTGGCTCGGAGCTCGTTGATGAGGCGGCTCCAGTTGGACCCCAGCGACCCGAGGAACACATCGCACTGCGCTGCGATCAACGCACTCGCCAGGCTGGCAGCCACGGACTGTGCGGCGTCGTACTCGCGGTTGCGCTCCGAGTGGGACGGCTGGCGGGCGTTGGTGGCGAAGAGGAAGTGCCAGTCGGGGTAGTGGGCTGTCTCGTTGATCACCGACTGTGCCATGCGGGGGACCGGGGTGGAGGGGAGGGGGCTGCACTGATATGTGGGACTATGGGAATGTTGAGTGTGCAAGGGATGGGTGTACAGTGTGGCATGTTGACAAGGCATGGGGCACACGTGTCTTATATGTGATGACAAAAGGACGTACCCAAGGGTTCTGTAGCATGGGTAAGGAGCACGCTGCATACTCCTGGTCTTACCTGATGCCCTGTAATGGACACGAGGTGGAAAAACGCCACATTAAGTTGACACCGCAGGGGGGTGCCTTGCCCCGTGCGTTCACCTCACCACCAAGAACAGGGGTCCATATTGGCTTGGCGCTACCCGAGCCTCGGTGTTCACCCACACACGCCCCACATGCACTGCGGTGTGTTGTGTCTCACAGGAAGATCCACAACACACAGCACATGCGTACCAGAGTGTATGTCCCACCCACCCGTGCCTCCGTGTTGAGCCACACGTGTCGGAGGTCCACCAGAGCACGGCGCAGGCAGTATGCGAGGAACATGTGGGCGGGCAGCGACAGCGGCAAGCAACACATCTCCCACCTGAGCCTCAGTATTGAGCCACACACATCCCACCTGAGCCTCAGTATTGAGCCACACACACCCCACCTGAGCCTCAGTATTGAGCCACACACACCCCACCTGAGCCTCAGTGTTGAGCCACACACACCCCACCTGTGCTTCAGTGTTGAGCCACACGTGTCGGAGGTCCACGAGTGCGCGGCGAAGGCGGTAGGCGAGGAACATGTGGGCGGGCAGCGACAGCACCCGCATCTCCGACAGCTTGTCGCTCTGCCTCACGTGCATGCTCACTATCGGTCGCTGCATGTACGGCTCTCTGGCTAGGTCTATGGGAGTGCTGGGCGGTGACATGCGGTGCCACACAGTGCTGGTGGTAGGTGGGGGATCCACAGGAGTGTGAGGAGAAGCTGAAGCGGCAGATGCAATGGCAGCAGCAGCAGCGGAAGCGGCAGCAGGTGAAGCATCAGTACCGCATGACTCATAGTGTTGGAGAGCCAGTGAGAAGGCATGGAGTGAGGAGAGATGAGGGGAGGGGGGTGAGGATGGGGGGTTGGTGGAGTGAGAGGAGGAGTGGAGGGATGCAATGCGATTGGCGACGTGCATGCCGTAGGCGGTGTCTCTCTGTTGGTTGATGACGTGGCAGAGATGGGCTGATGGCCACCTCAGCATGAAGCGCACCGCCTGCGCCCGCCACCAGTGCACCTGGCGGGGGGGAAAAGGGGAGCAGAATAAGTAGCAGGCAAACGCAAAGGGGCACCCTGCGCCTCCCACCAGTGCACCTGGCAGGAAGGGGAAAGGTAGGGGCAGACGAATATGCAAGGCAGTGAGGCATGCTGCGTGCACCCACCACCAGTGCAGCTTTACTGTTGGCGGGGAGAGGGTGGGGGTGGGGAGGGGCGGAAACAAAAGAACGAAACAGAGACCATGGGTGCTACATGTGTCACACCTCACTACGGCTTGAGTACCAAGGGCAAGGCACTTGGGGGACAAAGCTGTGCTTGTGACTACTGCTTCCCTTCTGCAGGCCACCTGTTTCTGTTTCATGACCGCCTGTGCCCACCTGCGCCCACCTGCGCCCACCTGCCCCACGTGTCCCGCCTCACCATCTTGGTGTCGGCGCTGGTGGAGGCCACGTGGCCGCCATGCTCCACCATGTCCGCGTCCGCCAGGTATGCATCGCCCCACAGCGATGCTGCCCGGCCCTCGTAGCTCATGAACACGTCCGTTGTGGGGTCCAGACACACCGCCTGGTGGGGGAGTACACACATGCCAGGTGAATCTTCAGGTGGCCACAAGGCGCCTCAGGGATTGTGCGCAAGGGTGATGTGCTGCACAGCCCTCGTAGCTCATGACGACGCCTGTGGTGGGGTCCAGACACACCGCCTGGTGGGAGGGGCACAGGGGGAGGTGGAGGAGGGGAGGCAGAGGGGGCGAGGCAGAAGGTGGGGGCAGATGAGCACGTCCCTGTTGCATGGCATGACGACGTCCGTGGCGGGGTTCAGGCCCACCACCTGACGGGGGCACACTCACACATGGCAGGTGAATCTCCAGGTGGTTTCAGGTTCCACAAGACGTGTGACGGGTTGTGTAGTGTAGGGCCGTCGTTGATAAGGATGACGGAAGTGGTGGGTGCAGTCACTGTCACAGTCACAGTCACAGTCACAGTCACAGTCACAGTCACACCGCCGCCTGATGCTGCATGGCATGTGCCATGGCCAGCAGACCAGGGATTCAGACGGCGGGGGGCGGCAAGGGGGAGGCGGAGGGCGGTAGGCGGCAAGGGAGAGGTGGTGGGTGGAAGGCGGATGGGGAAAGGGGGAGGCGGAAGGGGGGAGGAGGTGGGGAAAAGGCGGAAAGGGGGAGAGGGGCAATTATGTCCCGGTGACACACAGAGCTAGAGGGCACAAGTGTCGCATCCAAGCACTCATGAAGACCCTTTTGGGACGGGACAGCAGCCATCTCACCTGCTGCTGTGCTGCGCTGCGCTGTGCTGCCCCCCATGCCGCAGCTCCTCCCTCGGGGCACACACCAGCGCCGAGCAGCCTACTGCACATGGCAACACCGTTTTTAGCCACTTGCCCACACGCACCTGTTGCTTTGACTGTGCGGCTCTATCGTACCCCTGCCCCTCCCCCGTGACACACTCCCGAAAGGCATCTCCGCTCCTCCTCTCTGCCAACCTACCTTGCCACCCCCACCGGCCCCACTCACGTACTTGTTGGTCCGACTGCGCGGCCCTATCGTACCCCAGCTCCTCCCCCGTGACACACTCCCCAATGGCGTCCTGCGCCCTCAGGCGGTTGAGCTCGTCCTCGCAGTCGGGCGAGACGATGGGGAAGAAGAAACACTCCCACGCGCCCTGCTGCCCCGTGGCTGTATGGCGACGGAGGGCAGAAAGAGCAAGGGAGGCGCGAAAGGAGGGAAGGCAGAGGGAGAAAGGAGAGATGGGTGAAGGGGGAGAGTGCGTGGGGAGCAGGGCGTGAGGGGGGATGCAGTCTACCGTTGAAGCAAGCAGAGGTAATGGGAATGAGAGACCTTCTTGATCCACCCAAGGGGCGTTGTGAATAACATGGATGCTGCACACAGGTGTTGCCATGTGCCACTGCCCCTTGCCTGGTGTTTTTGACAATCCTCATTTCACATGTATCCGCACTCCACCCTCACTCCACCCTCACTCCACCCTCACTCCACCCTCACTCCACCCTCACTCCACCCTCACTCCACCCTCACTCCACCCTCACTCCACCCTCACTCCACCCTCACTCCACCCTCACTCCACCCTCACTCCACCCTCACTCCACCCTCACTCCACCCTCACTCCACCCTCACTCCACCCTCACTCCACCGTCACTCCACCCTCATTCCACCCTCACTCCACCGTCACTCCACCGTCACTCCACCGTCACTCCACCCTCACTCCACCCTCACTCCACCCTCACTCCACCGTCACTCCACCCTGTGATCGCAACCGGCAGCTGTGAGAACAAAGGTTACAGAAAGCAAAGTTGAATAAAGGCTATGTTTGAATAGAAAAGGAGGAGTTGAGATGTTTAAGAAGCAGGGGTGCGTTGAGAGCAGCGGCACACGGTGCAAGTGAGGGAGGGCGACCTTGGCAGTGGGGGTGCAGGTGAAGTGACCTTGGCAGTGGGGGTGGTTGGCGCGGTCAAAGGAGTTGGCGAGCGGGATGAGTGTGTGGTTGTGCAGCATGGCCAGGCCCAGAAACGCGCCCATCAGATGCACCTGCCACCAGGGGGGGAGCGGAGGGAAGGGAGGAGAGATGGGCCGTGCGCAAGAGACTAGCTGATGGTTGTGCAGCATGGCCAGGCCCAGAAACGCGCCTATCAGATGCACCTGCCACCAGGGGGGTGGGGTGTGGGAGGGGGAAGACGAGGGGGAGAGAGGGAGAGGGAGGGCGAGACTTGAGTCAGGTAGAGTAAGGAGACGAGAGAGTGTGGACATGCAACACAGGGCGAGGAAGGAGGGGGCGAGGCAGGACGGCAGATGGGCTGACCTGCGACCCACCCTGTTGTGCACGGCCGTGTCCCACACGGCACACGCTGCATGCAGCCACAGTGCTCATTGCTGCTGACACCAGTGACGGTGCACGCACCCACCTGCGACCCCACGCCATGGTACATGCCCGTGCTCCATGGCACGAGCAGCAGGCGCCGGCCCTGGCAGGCGCGGGGCGGCAGCATCTGGTGCAGCCAGATGTCGCGCTGTGATTGGCGCGTCATGGCCAGGCTGTTGCTGTCCGCCCCCCGCACCTTGGGGGATGTGGGAGGCGGATGGGCGCATGGGGAAGGGCGCATGGGGATGGGCGCATGGGGAAGGGCGCATGGGGAAGGGCGCATGAGGAAGGGCGCATGGGAAGGGCGCACGGGGAAAGGCGCATGGGGAAGGGCGCATGAGGAAGGGCGCATGAGGAAGGGCGCATGGGAAGGGCGCACGGGGAAAGGCGCATGGGGAAGGGCACATGGGGAAGGGCGCATGGGGAAGGGCACATGGGGAAGGGCGCATGGGGAAGGGCACATGGGGAAGGGCGCATGGGGAAGGGCACATGGGGAAGGGCGCATGGGGAAGGGCACATGGGGAAGGGCGCATGGGGAAGGGCACATGGGGAAGGGCACATGGGGAAGGGCGCATGGGGAAGGGCACATGGGGAAGGGCGCATGGGGAAGGGCACATGGGGAAGGGCGCATGGGGAAGGGCGCATGGGGAAGGGCGCATGGGGAAGGGCGCATGGGGAAGGGCGCATGGGGAAGGGCGCATGGGGAAGGGCGCATGGGGAAGGGCGCATGGGGAAGGGCGCATGGGGAAGGGCGCATGGGGAAGGGCGCATGGGGAAGGGCGCATGGGGAAGGGCGCATGGGGAAGGGCGCATGGGGAAGGGCGCATGGGGAAGGGCGCATGGGGAAGGGCGCATGGGGAAGGGCGCATGGGGAAGGGCGCATGGGGAAGGGCGCATGGGGAAGGGCGCATGGGGAAGGGCGCATGGGGAAGGGCGCATGGGGAAGGGCGCATGGGGAAGGGCGGGGGACGGGGGGACGGGTGGACTGAGGGAGGGGAGGGGAAGGCGGAGAGATGCAAGAGATGGAAAGTGGTAAAGGAGAGGAGCACAGAGGGCAGTGAAAGTACGGACACCCTCTTGCCGTACAATGCGGGAACGGCTTAGTGGTGGCATGGTGAGAGGCTCAGTGGTGGCATGGTGAGAGGCTCAGTGGTGGCGGAAGGAAGGAGGGGCGGAGAGCGAGCAGTGGACTGGACATGGGATGAGTGAGGCTGGTGGGATGAGTGAGGCTGGTGGGATGAGTGAGGCTGGTGGGATGAGTGAGGCTGGTGGGTGTGTTACCGTACTGCCTTCCGTCACCATCACTCCCTCACTTCACCTCTCACCCACACCCTCAACCCACTTTAAATACCCCCCTTCCTCACTCCCTCACTCACTTGCTCACCCACGGTGGCTGTGGTGGGCAGTTGCAGGAGGAGGAGGACCAAGGGGGGTCTGAAGGTGAAAGTTCCGTATCCCATGTGTCCCGCGGGTGACAGCACCCGTTTTGGCTGCTCCGCGGGGGTTCCGCCCATGCTGGCGGCTCCCCCCTTTCCCCCCGCTGCTCCGCCTGCTGGCGCAGCGCTGTGAGCGCGGCGCAGTCCTCGAGATGAGGGGCGGGGGGGAGGGAGGGCGGAAGGGAGAGGGGGGAGGGCGGAAGCAGCGAGTCGGGGGAGAGCCCGTAGGCGTCCGCCCAGGCCTGCAGGAGTGTGTGTGGTTCGAGGGGGGGAGGGGGTGAATGGGGGGGATGGGGGCCGGGGCGGGGGGAGCGAATGGGAAGGGAGAGGGGAAGGGGAATGGGGAGGAAGAGTGAGCAAGGAGGGAGCGGGGGAAAGGGTCGAGAGTATACGGCGGCGAGAATAAGAAAGCGGAGGAGCGGGTTTGAGGGGCGGCGGCAGAGGGCGATAGGGCGACGGTGGGTGGGCCATGAAGGGTCGACACGGTGGGCAGGGCGCTTCCGGTTCGTGGAAGGCTGTGGCGGACGGAGCAAGCCAGTGCGGTTCACAGCGGTACCGAGGGGCGCTGCTGGATGGGAAAACAGTGGCGGCTGCCTGCGCGCTCTCCCGCTGTTGTCTCACCCGATACAACGACATGGCGTGCTCCATTCCCGCCGCCCCTTCCAGAGCGCTCACGACCGTCGATGCAGTCTTTCTGGACAAATCGCACGGCCAGTCGCAAAGCATCGTCGCCACGAGGAATGCCGCGAGCGAAATTGGCAGGCGACTAGATGGAGCATGGCGTGCGTGTATGCGTGTCATGATCCTCAGCGGGTCCGCGATCCCATCGCTTTCAGAATCGTGAAACATGACGATGAAGGAGTGAATATTTGATATGTAATACACTGTCCTCCCATATCACACGGGGGTGTAGCTCACATGGTAGAGCGATCGCTTTGCATGCGATAGGTACGGGGATCGATACCCCGCGTCTCCACATATTACACTTTTACCGATATGAGTTTTTCATTGTAAATAATACAATATAAATGATCGTGGTGGAAAATAATCGCCTTGAGGGGATCATTCCATGGGGGCGGATCTCTTAGTGCTTTGCCAACTATTTTCACCTTGGCGGCCAAATCCGCGACCTTGCAACGAGATCCGAACCTGGCTGCGAAACCCGAAACATGGTAGAGACATCGACAATCTCGGAGCCCAACGCCTGCGGGCCAGCGACGAGACCGGCGACATCCGCGACCGGTTTGCTCCACCCTGGTTCTATGCGGTCGATGAGGACCAGTCCACCAAACCACCTCAGACCTAAGCGTGGACCCGCTCCCTGAGCGAATGTGGGACTATAATGGGGAGGCTTGTTTGGTTCGGCGAGCCGGTCCACGTCGGACACCTGAAGAGTTATAGTATTAGCGAACACTTGCGAACTCATCTCGCTACCATTGCAAAACTTGGCATCGTTCGGTCGTGGACTGGCCAATCACAAGTGTCACAGGCGAGAGCAAACCGACTCCCTGCACATCGAAATCACAACACAGCCATCAGAAAATCAAGTCGCGAGCATTTTGTTCACGACGCGCCACTACGATAAGTACTTTGTAGCGCTTACACGTCGGCACGCCTTGCACAATCCACTTCAGTATCATGCTGCCCTCCCTGAGCGCGCTGCCACATCGTACAACGCCCGTTGCAACCCATCAGAGAAGTTTTTCCAGCTGTCTCATTGTTGCAATCACCGTCTGAGTATACGAGATGTCTGCTCAAATGTTCATGCGCCTTAGCTGTTCCAGCAAGTGCTCGAAACAACCAGAGATGCCAGCACACTTAAGATGGGCGTCAACGTTTACGATTGCCAGCACTCCCACTGCCGAAATCGAAGCTAGCCCGAACATCTATCTGGTAGGATCGCCAACGCTACATATTTGTCACTTCTAGGCGACATCTAGCGTGAGGATAAACCATGGCGGCAGTTGCCAATTTCGTTTCAAACTCGCATCATTATTGCAAAGAGAGGTCAGGAACGTTATGCTCCAGTATCACCGGATCAACCGTTCTAATACAACACAAAATTTCACAACGTCTCGGCAATGACAACGTCTCTCGAATATGTTATGGGGCAGCTCTCACGCCGTCGCGCAGCTAGTTCCCCCGTTGTGCACATCGTGACAATAGTATTCCGCGAATCACACCCTGTCGAGCGCGCCCCCACCCATAGCACGACGGGCATCCACTAAGCTGCCGACGGTGCATTCACTTTAAAGTCATCTGTCCGTGCGATTATCACTCACGAGCAGGCAACCAGATGTGTCTAGCGTGTCGCGCTTCACGCGATATCGAGCCGCTGGTGCACCACAAAGTTTGCACGATACTCGCGACGTCACCTGTGTAGAGCTTTATATGCGCCACGATTCTCAACGTGAAGGCGCCTCATATGTCGAGTCGTTGATCCCAGCACATGCTCGCGACTCGCCCAGTTGACGGAGTGTCTGGCAACGTGTTCAATCCCATACCGAACCGCGACATGACGATGTACATTGCCTCGCAGCGCATCAAGCTGCAAAGCATGTAGAGTGCTGATACAAAGGCCTGATCGTAGAGCACCATCGCACTTGTCACGTGGTCTTGTTCCATGCTCAAGCCTCCTCGCAGTGTCTTCTTCTACTTAAAAACACTGTCTAAGATGGACCCTTTTTCGGCCTCGACGGGCAATGGAAGTGGCATTGCGCGTCCACCTATACCTGGGGAGAACCTTGAGCAAGAACAACGGGTGATGCTCGACACACAGGCATCGGAGACAAATCTTTGCGTCGAAAGGGGTGAGGGAGCAACAGCCGAGCCCAACCCATCTGCTCGTCAAGTGCACCTTCTTACCCACGCTGGCACATGCATTTGTCAAACATTTATCATATAGCTTGTCTAGGCTATAGTGGGGTAGACACTAAGGGGTACAGTTTCCTAGGGTTTCCTACTTGTACCCAACCTTGTTCTAGTTCATTCATTCCTTGTCCTCTACTCTTCACATGGTTTCAGAGCAGGTTCCCTAGGGGGACCGTTTTTTAGGGCCCACCACAAACTTTTTTTTTTTGCCCTGCCCGAATCGCACTGTCGTGCCTGCCTACCCGCGCCCTCGAGCGCCACCCTGCCGCCCTGCCCTGCAGGCAGCGCGCGGGCCTGCCCTGCACCCGCGCAGCCGCCCCTGGACCCCGCGGCGCGGCCCCTGGACCCAGCGACGCGTCGCCCTGCTCGTCGCGACGCCTCTGCGGGACCCGGGCGTCGCCCCTGCCTCGTCGCGACGCCCCTGCGGGACCCGCGCGTCGCCCCCCCCCCCGCCCTTCGCGGCGGCCCCGTCGACCCGCGCGCGGCTCCCCATCGCCCTTTGCGGCGGCCCCGTCGACCCGCGCGCCGCCCCCGGGGACCCGTGCGCCCATCCCCGTCGACCCGCGCGTCGCCCTGCGGCCCCCTCCCCGCACACCTGAGTTCGCTTTCCTCACACCTGAGTTCGCTTTCCGCACACCTGAGTTCGCTTTCCGCACACCTGAGTTCGCTTTTCGCACACCCGAGTTCGCTTCCCGCACGCTTGTGCTCGCTTCGCGCAGACCGGGCGTCGCCCCCGCTCGTCGCGACGCCCCTGCGGGGCCCGCGCGGCGTCGCCCCTGCCCGCCGCGGCGCCCTGCCCTACCCCGCGCCCGCCCTTTGGACGGCCGCCCCTGCACTGTGTTGCAGCAGCTGCAGTCGCGGACCTCCCCGCCCTGCAGCAGCTGCCGTCGCGGTCTGCCCCGCCCTGCAGCAGCTGCCGCCGCGGACTGCCCCGCCCTGCAGCAGCTGCCGTCGCGGCCCCGCCCCACCCTGCAGCAGCGGCCGCAGTTAGAGCCTGCCTCCCCACTGCCTTCTCCTTCTCCCTACGCTGTTCCTACTGGAGGTCTTGCTGAGCGTCGTGCGCCTGCGTCTCGTCCTGCGTCGCCTGTTCAGGCTGTTCGCGCTAGTCGTCGTGTTCCGCGTCAGCGTCCTCCTGCGGTCCCAGGCACGCACCAGATGGCACTGCGACCTTCCACTGCTCCGCAGCGCGTCCCTTTGCCGTCTCCTCCAGAGTCCTCTCTTCCAGCTCTTGCTGACCCGGAGTCTGACTCTCTTCGTGCTGCCAGTCCTACTGTCACGCGTCTCCTGGCTACTGTTTTCACTGACCCTTCCTTTGAGTCCACTGCTGCGTCTGCCTTAGTTGCTGAGCTTGTCGACTTTGCTGCTCACTGTCGTCTAGACTACGCTGCTAGTCTTGCTGAGTCTGAGTCTGTCTGTCCTCCGTCCGTCGGGGGTGAGTGTGCTCTTAGCACGGACGTCCTTGAGGACATGCAGGAGGAGTTCCAGTGTTTTGCTGCTGCTTTGCCTCATCTCGTGTCCATGCTGATTGCCCCTGAGGGAGACCCGGATGCACCAGACATCCCGACTCCTCGATCGTACGCTGAGGCGATCGAGGGTCCCTACTCCTCACAGTGGCAGTCAGCCATGGACGCAGAGATGGCTTCCTGGAAGTCCACAGGCACCTACGTCGACGAGGTTCCCCCACCTGGGGCGAACATCGTCAGTGGCATGTGGATTTTCAGGGTGAAGCGGCCGCTGGGTTCTCCGCCTGTCTTCAAGGTGCGTTACGTGGCTCGAGGCTTCAATCAGTGGCAGGGAGTTGACTACTTTCAAACCTTCTCTCCCACCCCGAAGATGACCACTCTTCGGGTGCTGCTACACATAGCTGCTCAGCGTGACTACGAGCTTCACTCTCTTGACTTCAGCACAGCTTTCTTGTAGGGCAGCCTGCACGAGGAGATCTGGCTGCGCCGCCCACCTGGCTTCACTGGGTCGTTTCCTCCTGGTACCCAGTGGAGCCTCCGGCGGCCAGTCTACGGTCTCCGCCAGGCGCCTCGTGAGTGGCACGACACACTGAGGACTACACTTGCGGCTCTTGGGTTTGCTCCTGCTACTGCCGACCCGTCGCTGTTTCTGCGCACCGACACCTCTCTGCCGCCGTTCTACATCCTCGTGTACGTCGACGACTTGGTCTTTGCCACTGCTGACACTGCTGGACTCGCCCACGTGAAGTCCGAGCTGCAGAAGAGACACACGTGCACAGACCTGGGTGAACTGCGCAGCTACCTTGGCTTGCAGATCACCCGGGACAGAGCACAGCGCACCATCACCCTGACTCAGTCACACATGGTGCAGCAGGTCCTTCAGCGCTTCGACTTCACGTACTCCTCGCCTCAGGCCACTCCTCTGTCTACTCGCCACTCGCTCTCAGCTCTGCCTTCGGATGAGTCCGTAGAGCCGAGTGGCCCATACCCAGAGCTTGTTGGCTGCCTCATGTACCTGATGACCTGCACACGACCTGACCTTGCATACCCTCTTAGCATCTTGGCACGCTATGTTGCTCCTGGGAGACACCGACCAGAGCACATGGCTGCTGCGAAGAGGGTGTTGCGCTACTTGTGCAGTACGTCGGGCATGGGGCTAGTGCTTGGAGGGCGGCGTTCAGTGGTCCTCACAGGTCACGCAGACGCTTCTTGGGCTGACGACCAGGCTACGCAGCGGTCGTCACAGGGTTACACCTTCAGCCTTGGTTCCGGCTCTGTTTCGTGGCGGTCTACCCGCTCGTC